TTCCAAAACGGCCGACGAGAACATGATGTCTCTTTGCATTGATTTTATCTCCTTTCTTGCAGCAATGTTTAATTTTGACATTCTTCATTCTTACTGTGGATTGCGTGAACTTAAACAGATCAAACCAATAATCGGATAAATGATTTTTGCAGTTTTGCAGAGAGGTAAGATATTGATCTATTTCCAGCTTTTCCTTTTATTTGCTGTGATAATCACTATAAATTCTTGCTTAACAAAAGCTTGAACTAAATTAAAAATTTTCGAAGGCTAAAAACGTACGACCTTTTAATTTATTGGGAGTGTATATCAATATACCGCAGAATCTGTGAAAGGTACTAACCAGAACCGGCGCTTTGTTGTACCTTTAATCACTCGGTTGGCGTCTACTTAATGAAAAACATCAGATTCCTCCCCAAAGCGTCATTGACACCTACTTGGTTGACATCGATTGAGACGGCAAAAGGTCCATCGTGCTCCGTAATCTTTTAATTCTGCCCATTCCCCGGCCCGGGAAAAGTGCTGAGGGGGAAGAAGCGGTTGACCAATCACAGAGCCCTGCCTACCCTGCCCCCTCCTTCTCGGTGTTTAAGGGCCGGATAAATAGCATCCCCGTTCTTTTGCTCTATGATTTAATTTTAATTTTTCTTCGAATTTGCTGGCCCGCCAGACCCTCATACCACACCGAAAATATGACATGCTTTAAATCGGCTTTCGATGGCTGGCAGTCAACCAGGACGCTTGATTTTGTGAGCCCCGAATTTGGCGCTATTCACCGCCCAATTTCAATCTGATTGTTTTGCCTCGTGCACCCCCAAACCCGGGTCATTGTCTCGGCGTTCTAGAATGAGGGCCATTGTTTTTTTGGACCATTCGCCGGGTTGCAAAGCGATTGGCCTTTGTTCTGCTTTGATCCGGGGAGGTATCGTGGCCAAGGGCCAAAGATACGGATACGCTGGTGGTGAAATGTCACTACCCCGAAAATCACTACCTTAAACGGCGTTACCCCGAAAGGTCGTTAGCCCGAAATCGTTTACCCCAAAAAATCACAACATTTTTCCGGAAAATGCCAGTTTTGATACGGAATTCCGAGGAAAATAATGCAAATTATTTCGGGGTGGTGATCCGGGGTAGCGCCTTTTCGGGGTAGTGGCCGGACGCCGGCAATGCCATACCCAGGCCTGGGAATTTTTAGGGCCGGCCCGGGCCGGCCCAGGGCCGGGCCGGGCCGGGCCGAGATTTTCGCGATTTTTCAGGGCCGGGCCGGCCCCGGGCCGGCCCTCGAATTTTCAGGGCCGGCCCGGGCCGGCCCGGGGCCGGCCCGGGCCGGCCCGACCTTTCTGCACGAATTAGAAATCAATTCAAATGTGGTTATATAAAGCTAATCTTTACTATTTCCGCATGTATAAGGATTACGCTATCTATCTACACAGCTTAAACAAAAAAAAAGCTTTTTTGATCAAAATCGCTTACCAGGAAAACGACCCGGGTTCGACCCCGCCCGAGGTCAATTTTTTGCTTTTTGCTTTTTTCTACCGGAAACAATCTGAAATAACTGCAATGCCATTTGGCATGACCTGAGACATTAAAACGTACTCTCAGCTGATGTCAGGACTCCTCTGATGCATGGCTTTAGTTAAGGTCAGAAAGTAGGGCCGGCCCCGGGCCGGCCCGGGCCGGCCCAGGGCCGGGCCGGGGCCGGGCCGAGAATTTGGCCCGTCGGGCCGGGCCGGGCCGGGCCGAAAATTTTGACCTTAGGGCCGGCCCGGGCCGGCCCGGGCCGGCCCTGACCCAGGCCTGGCCATACCCACCCATCATTTTGAAGGCTGCCTCCGCACTGCAAAACGAGAACAAACATTCCGCGGAGTAAGACGAGTCCACGCTCCGAAAAACGGCCATTTTCACTACTAGCGCCCCCGGCGTTTCACCAATTTCACTCGATGACTAATGCATGCTAGCGGCCCCTCATAGACCCGTCGTTCTTAGGTCGGTTGCCCTTTTTTCATGCAACTGAAATAGGGGGTGGTGGGAGCGGTCTCTGGTTTTCCCAGATGCCCAGATGGCGGCTCCCGATTCACTGCCCCCCCTCGAATGGCATCAGAAGAGGGGTCGACCCGGCATTTCCGGAAACCGAACCTTCAAAGGATCATTGCGTTCAATTTCCTGTAATTGATATCAAGTTAAGCATACCGAAACTTCAACAGATTTAATTATAAAGCTTACTCTAAAGTGTTTTTACTCAGGCTGGCGTTTTGGAATGGGACCAAGCCTACCTTGTTCAGAATTTTTCGCTGATTCCGAACCCGTTTTCCAAATTTGCGTTAAAAGTCATTTGAGGTCGAAATTAAGCTTAAAAACGGCATACATTCGGATGCTGGCCCACTGTCTGGGTCCAGGTATTGCTGTGCCCCATCTACCCTTCCGAAGCCCCCTGCCTAGTTGGCACCATGGTACCTTGGCAAGGTGTTCGCTTGCCGAGCACAGGGCTGAACGGCATGCAGAAAACACAGGCGGACCCCCGTCCGCGGGTCAACATTTTAGCAAACATCCCCCGAACACGCCATATAAATACGAGGAGCTTAGCAGTAAAAAAAACTATGAGAGAAAGAAAACAAAATAAAAACAGAGCCAATATACTTTAATACGTTTATTGGGGGGAAATACTTTATGTGAAGACTATTTGGTTACTGTTTTAGTAATATACTCTTTCATTAGACTGTTCTACACTCACTCTCCTCTTATTTCAACCAGGATCTAACAATAGATCATTATTCTCGTGTTTTTTCGGGCCTTGTCTCTATTTGTATTATGCGTATCACTATCCATATACTACTTTAAACAAAGCCAATATACTTGAACACGTTTATTCGGTAAATACTTTTATGAAAAGATTTGGCTACTAGTTATCGCTATCAATATGTTACTTTCTTGAGCGGGGAAATGTTTTAGTTTATTAGTTTTTTCTTGTCTTTATGCTTTATGTCTTCAGTTTCAGTTGAAGTTTTGTTGAGGACCGGCAAGTTTTAGGTTGACGTTCGGAAACTGACTATTTCACCGGTAACTTGCAAAACAAACTATAAAAGCCTGAAAAAGAGCATAGTGATAGATCTGCTTGCAAATAAAGAAAGTTATTACAGATTAAGCAAGGTTTACAAAGATGAAGCTGGCGCCTTCTGAAGAATCGTTGTCGAATCCGTCGATTAAGGCCTGAAGTAGCAGAAATACTAGCTAAAACTTGTGAGCGTAACTAAACATTTAACTTAATTGTTTTCTTTTATCAATTATACAGGGCTATAAAAAATCAAACCCGAAAAAACACGAGGATAATGATCTATTGTTAGATCCTGGTTGAAATAAGAGGAGAGTGAGTGTAGAACAGTCTAACGAAAGAGTATATTACTAAAACAGTAACCAAATAGTCTTCACATAAAGTATTTCCCCTCAATAAACGTATTAAAGTATATTGGCTCTGTTTTTATTTTGTTTTCTTTCTTTCATAGTTTTTTTTACTGCTAAGCTCCTCGTATTTATATGGCGTGCTCGGGGGATGTTTCCTAAAATGTTGACCCGCGGACGGGGGTCCGCCTGTGTTTTCTGCATGCCGTCAGGGCTGAGGTTCTAACCCCACCCTGCACAGTTTCTTTTGCTTTTTGCACAAAAGCGCATGATTTTTTTGCATAAAATCGCGCTTTGACCTCTAAAACCGTTACCGACCCAGTTTTAACGTTGATACTACGACAACTTAAAAATAACGCAAAAAAGCCAAATGTTGGCACTTTTTATAGTATACATATCGAATAACTTTTTAAACAAAAGTCGGCAGCAGATTTGGAAATCATATTCGGAATCAGCGGAAAATCCTGCACAAGATAGGCTTGGTCCCATCCCAAAACGCCAGCCTGAGTAACAACACTTTACAGTTAGACGCATGTTTACTTTCGATGCCAAAATTTTTGTAAAAATTTGCTCTATTTTGGTGTATCAAGAGTAGGTAAAGAATTTTGCTACATTCAAGGGTGACCTGTTTTCGTATTGTCATCACCGAGCCTCCCCGATAACTCACTGGCCTGGTGGCCTAGACTTGACTCAATGAATTCTTAATTCTTCCAAGTGCCGTTCGCCTCCGATCCTCCTCTTGCCCCGCTCTTCTATTTAATTGGGGCCACCAAATCAAACGGCCATTCGGGGGCAAAACCCGTGGCCCGCTTTTTGCCGTGCTTTTGACTCAGGGAATTAGATTCACCGGGTCGGGGCAAATGAGCTGCCCTCCTGCACTATGGATCTGTTGTCAGTACGTGTACGCATTTTCCTGCTTCACTTTTCGTCGCGGATGTTTAAAAACTGCTTCGAGCCCACGGACCGCCCCTAGCCCCCTTGGGCTCTGGGTCCAAAAGGCGCCTCCCCGACAAGATGGAAAAATTCCGCCCCACGGCCCCGCTGGCGATTTAGCATTCGGGACCTGGAACGCCGCGCAAAAAGTTTGGGATTTCAAAGAGGCGCGGAGCATCGTGTTTGGCGCTGCTTTGTGTTAAATTGTGCCCAAACTTTTTGGAACCGATGATAAGACACCGAAACATAAAGCCAAACAATCTGTTGCTGCATTGATTCACATGTCCTTTCAATATTTCTGTCTTTCTGCGTAAAGCGCTTCTGCAAACGCCGACCAGAGTTTACATGCAAAATTGAAGGTCTTGAGATTATATGCCTGTCATTCCATAGAATCCCACTGCAAGCTTTTTCCATTGCTCTAATAAAGACATGCTCCCCGTATCAGTTAGAAACGTTTTGTTTTGTAAGATGACTGCTTCCAAGCCAGAACGGAGTATAACCCCCAAGTCTAAAGAGAAGCCGCCCGGATTTTTTGCTGCCACTTTTTTCAAATAAATTTCAGCCGGTGTTGATGCCCTTGCTTCCTATTTTTTGTGCCGGATTCTCCATCGGAATTTGCCAAATTGCTAATTCACATATTTCAGGACCCAATGCAAATGGCAGGGCGCTAGAGGATGTCGGTGAACCCAGAGTTATGTTTGGGGCCTCATGGCACCTCACCTCCAGTAGCGTGCCTCCCTTTCCCGCAGGCGCTTATCACCGTCGCGTCAGCCGTCGCCGTCATGCTGGTGAGATGCCGATTTTTAACTTCGGATTTTTCTCCTTATAGACTTTTTATTTTAAATCTTACGCTGTAATTATCTATTTAACGAGCTTAACCATAACAGGTTCTCCTTACGGCTTTGGCCCTCACAATGGTGGGCCAATATCTAGGACATGTTGCCTCTACCAGGTGTTGCCCAGACCTGGCCGTTTGGCTCTGCGAGCTTTATAGTTGAATGCTTTTCGCTCCGCTTCTCGCTTTCTCCTTCGATTCTGTCAGACTTTTCCTACTAGATGACCCTAAAAATCTACAGGCCCCTAGTGGGCCTTCGTCCCTAAATCTTATCGTGCACAAAAACGTTCGAAAACGCGTGGTTTGCACCATGGAAAACTAAATTAGCTGTTTCCTAAACCCCCTTCACAATTTTCGCTCAAAGAAACATTACAGTCGCGTTTCGGAAAAAACACGCCAAAAAACGCTTGTTTTCTGGCCGTTTTTAAGGCTCCGATAAAGCCTATTTCGTGATAATCGAACGCTTCGATGGAAGACTAGAGTGCCAAATTGCATTTCCAAAAGCCTTTGACACCCAGCGATGACCAATATTCGCGCTCTTCTTCCAATTTCAATTGCAATCGTTCCGCAGAGAAAACTGGCATGCATTTTTGAGGAAATGACATCGAAACACTTCCTTCGGAACGTTCCGGAACCATCCCCTAGGCCACCACCTGAAATATCCCGAAAGTATCGGGGCGCCCCGGATCCAGGTGGGAGGTGGCTTTTTCGGGGCGCTACTTATTTATGCAAAATGTATTTCGGAGTCCCGGGGGTTGAAGAGGAGCAAAAAGATTGAGGGCCCAGAGCGGGGACAGCTGGGGGAGATTTTTGGAGGAATTTGGCGTTGAGACCAGTGTAACTTCCATAGATTTGGGGCAATATTAGACGTTTGATAGCTTATTAATCTTGCAATACGGGAAATGATATTAGGATATTAGTGGAAATCGAAAACGTTATTAACTAGGAATTGCGGCGGCTTAGGTTTAACGGAAGCATCTACTCGAAAGAGAGTTTTTTCTAGCCGCAATTTATAAACTTCTCCCTTACCCGCTGCATTTTACTGCATGTCAGTCGAGTTGAAGAATTATTTGTCTACCCTTCCCTTAGACATAGGCTGCCCGTGGGAACGCCGCATTCCCTTGAGAATGCCCTGAAATATGGGCGTCATGTCCATCAACAGCCCAAAAAAGCGGATTGACCTGGGACTTCTCTGGGGACGCGACCGCCCTGAAAACAAGAGTTCCCGGTTTATCACTTTCTCAGAGTAAATCGCACGGCATTGCTTGCAAAAACATGGTTCGAAGCTAACGGATAATTGACCAACTCATTTCCGCATCAAGCCCAACCGATGTCTGATGAATTTTGGCTAAGACCTTTTGGCTTACCTATCCGAATTTCTCGCCAAAAAGGGCCAATTTGAACTTTGGCCTTCTGTATCTTGTTGCGTAACCCGAAAAGCTTTTGCGACCCTGTGACGGCAAAGCAGCTAGTGTCTAAATTGCTTTCTGTCAATCAAACTGTCTACTTGGGTTCGAGAAGGCCGGTGTTATACCTAGAGAAGGTTCTCCCAAGAAGGTGTTGACAAAATGACCAACAAGTGGCACCAGAAAATATTTGCACTTTGGGGCTTCGGAGTCTAGGGAGGACTTTGGAACTTGGATCCCGGCTCATACATCATAAAAAAGTGTTGATAGCCGTAGGTCTGAAAGGTTCTGTATAGCTGCGAGACCAGGCATCCAGTAGAAAATTGCTGTGAAAATTGCTGAGAAACTAGCAAATCAAATGTCATAGCTTTTAGGTGATCGTCCTGGGCAACTTTATCGTAGTTGTGACGGTGTACAGGGATCGCAAACTTCGGATGCAACGTCAGAACTGGCTGATCGTGTCGCTGGCAGTGGCCGATCTGCTGGTAGGACTGCTCGTCATGCCACTGACGCTTGCTTATGAAGTCTACGGCGAGTGGCGCATGGGTAGGTTTAGTTTGTACTGGAATACTTTTTGCAAGCTAAAAGCTAGAAATCGACGCCTCGAAAAAACTCCGTTAAGGCAACATCAGCACCAATGAATTATATAATTTTTGGTCGCAGACCAGTTCTAGCGAGGACCCGGAATAACCCCACAAACCGGAACTTTATTTATTTTAATTACACGAGCCCGTGGATCGCTCGCGAAAGTTAATTTTGAGCTTCCGGCCCAAACTGATGATGAACCTAGTGAAATGTTAAAAAATGATCTAGGCACCCTCGAGATTGAAGTTGATGTTGCATCGACGGTTGGAAATTCGAAAAAGACCATATGAACTAAAATACTGGAAAACTGGTGTAATAATTTCGATTTCAGGGATGTTCCTGTGCGAAACATGGCTAGCACTCGACGTGCTATTTGTCACCGCGTCAATCCTACATATTTGTGCCATATCCCTCGATCGATATTGGTCGGTGACGTCGCCGCTAACGTACCCGGCCAAGCGGACGCCGCACAGGATGATGACCATGATCGGTTGGTGCACTGAGTCAATCCCTAAGCCGGGCTGAAGCTGCATTTTAATTTACGAACTTTTCGAATCCGAATTTTACAGCAATCTCCTGGTTGGTCTCGTTGCTCATCTGCCTGCCGCCAATTCTCGGCTGGCGACCCGAGCGCAAGCCGGGCGAGTGCTCACTGAGTACAGATATTGGTGAGTAATATCGTTTGAAACGGCCAACCAAAGGAGCTGTAGGCTACGTCCTCTACTCAGCCATGGGTTCTTTCTACATACCGGTCATTGTGCTAGTCTGCGTCTATGCAAAAATCTACAGCATCACAATCAAACACAGGTTGGCGATCTGGCTTTCTGGAAAAATTCAAGCGCCAATTTTTCAGCCGACAACGATTAAAGGAGACGGAGAGACGCGACAAGACGTTGGTCCGGTTGACTGCAACGATTAGCACCGCCAACCGGACAACAGATTGTGAGTAAACATTGGAGAATTATGCTTAGAAATCTCAATTTTAATTCGTAGATTTAAAATTTGAAAATAGGTTTAAACGGCAATCTAAATTCAAAAAAATGAATTTGAATTTGAAGTTGAAATTAAGATGTGTTAATTCAAAAATTTGAAAATCTTAGGGCTTTGAAAATGTCTTTCTAAATAGATTCATGTTTGCAATTTCTAGGCAGCGGATTAGGGTCGGACTCAACCCAAAAGACGCAGACGCCAGATCTCGATTTCGAAGAGAATTCGGACCCAAATGACGATGAGAAGGAACGTGACAACAATAAGGTCAGTTCGGATTTTTTAAAGGCACTGAGAAGCCAAGCATTTTTCTCTAGCTCAAGGTTTCAATCAAATATTTTTTAGATGGCCATTAACCAAGTTTGTTGGCATCTGCGAAAAATCTCCGAGGAACTCTCCCAGGTGACGAATGAAGACAAGAAGCGACAGGTATTTAAAAAATGATTCCATCATTCTTCTCAGCTTTCCTCATTCTTCACGAATCGCAAAGAGAACGGCGAGTGCGATCGGCAGCAAAACATCGAGAAGCGCAAACGAAAGTTGAAGGTAAGGCATTTCGCTTGGGACACGCGACGCCTTTCCTTTAGGCAAAAGAACGGCAGGCTACGCTGTTGCTAGGCGTCATCTTGTCGGCATTTATTTTGTCTTGGCTGCCATTTTTTGTAGGTTTATTTTAAGGCTAATTGAGGCTCGCGACGGATATAAAATGCGAATATGAGCCAAAAGCTTTGGTCCTGGCAAAAAAGCAGATATCTGTAAAGAATTTATTTTTTTAGTTTATGTATCTGTTGGGAGCGTTCGGGTGGGCGGCGCCGGATATCGTGTTCAAGTTCTTCTTCTGGCTCGGCTACTGTAACTCGGGCATCAATCCTGTCATCTACACCATATTCAACCGCGAGTTCAAACGCGGCCTCTGCCGACAGCTTCGAAAGTTCGAGCGGGCCATTTCTTCATTTGCAAATCTCTACAAATAACTGCTTCTCGGATGTATTTACCAGACAGCAATGAAATTTATGCAATCTTTGTTCGGGGTGCTTTCGTCTTACCTGGGGTGGGGGTACGATTTTTTATCTTAATATATTTACATGAAGCGATTTTAGATTCTTTGCTAATCCCAGACGTGACCAGCTTTTCAAATTATTCCTAAAACTACAAAAATTTAGATCTTTTGTCAAAAATCGATTTTCAACCAAAGTTTCCTTCTCTAAGAATCTTGCCAGGATTTTTAGCCGATTTTTAGATTGGAATATAGCCAAAGCTATCAAAAGACTGACATAATGACTGCTTTTCTCTCAGCAGTATTTCCAAGCTTATAGGAAAATATCTCCCTCCCCCGATAATGCGAAAGTACCTGGTGTTCACCTTGCGAATGCCCCCTCTGCAATACCATATCTATTCGGCTGCGGCCAACATTGCTTCATATAATTTTTGATGTTCGCATTTGAGTCATATCAACCACTTCCTGATGGCCGGTATCTTCTTATCCTCGACGAATAAATGTGTCATACTTTTTCTTCATTCCATGGTCTTGAAAAACGGCAGCGTGAAAGTATAATGAACCGAAAATCACTCTTTATTCTCATACCTATACAAGCAAGAATATTTGCACTACACAATGTGTGAAAGAACCCGCGCAGTTTGAGCCGTGATTTGGATAAACAAGGAGAGGTAGAAAGACACAAAAAAATAATGGCAAAATTTGGGAAAACCGGTGGGACAAGAAAGGTGCGGACCGTCAAGAAAATTTCGCTCCCAATTCTATGAATCCACTTCGGCGGATGGTGAAAGTTCTATTGTTTATTCGAGGATTTTCGAATCTCACCAATCTCTTTCGGTTTCGAACTCACAAATTCTAAGTCTCGAACTCAAACCAACGCGAGAACACGAACGCGAGGCCGTCTCCTTAATGCACAAAACTTTTCGTTAATTCCCGCGGGCCTCGTTCCCGAAAACTGAACTTTCCTATTACCGTTTCTATAAAATTGGGAGCTGAATATTTGGTGACCGGATGGTGAGGTTTAAGATTTTTACGTCTAAAGTTCACGTGTCACCTCCGCAGAGAGAAAACATAGGAAACGACGTGATATTAGCAAATCTATAATGCTGTGCTAGCCGTCGAAATGTTTGTCTCCAACAATCGTTGATGCAATTTTTCCAGCTGTTCATCGGTGGTGCTCGTCTTGCTGCTCTGCGATTGTGAAGAGTGAGCTCCATTTTCTTGGGCGCGTCTGATCGACCCATCCTCGAGCACCGCGCATTTTGCCTAAAAGAGATTTTATCTGACTGACGTACTTACGGCATTTCCGTTAAAATCCAGGCCGGTTGGGCGCTTTTTGCGTTGCTGGTTGACGGCTATGGCATGTTGACGGCAGAGAAGATAATGGAGCTCGCGTCGGAGTTGAGAGTTGAAGATCAGGTACACCTGAAAATTTGAATGTCCCCCCGTGTCGTTTCATTACGTTCTTAATTTTGCCGGTGCTTCCAGGTTAACGGGGGACGGTTATTTTCGCGGGGGGCGGTTGCTAACTTTTTTCCATAATCTCGTGCGGGCCGACTAATTAAAAGTTTACCGTTTTCATAGACGTGTACGCCGCCCCAGATGGTTCTGGACTATTAGCGGGGGAGGAGAAATTAAGAAATACATCATAAAAAATGTTGAAAATTTTTGCTTTTTTGGTCCAATGTATCTGAAAACGTTTTGAAAACAGCTAAACCCCGAAGTTTTGTTGACCGTAGGATAAATGTTTTTTAATTTTTAGTTTGTAGAAAACTACTAAAAGCATGATTAAAATAACTACACTTCATGACTAGGCAAGTATAGGCTAAACAAAGAAAAGTTTGCAACCGTCCCCTCCCCGCTAAAATAACCGCCCCCCGTTAACCTGGAAGCACCATTTTGCCCTCTACTCTCATGCTGGTTGCCACACCGCTTCAACTGATTGCTCTCCTCACCGTCGGATTGACGCTGTTGTTGATAAAAAAGAGTGACGTCATCACAAAGAATGCCCATTTGGAGGTGGACATATGCGGCAGCCATTGCCACGAAGTCCACGTCAACAGGAACACCACGGAAACGACGAAGAACTGAAAAAGGTTTTCGGTCAGCCAGTAGAGGTAACGGCACCTGTATAAACAGCCGCATCTCCTTTTTGCTGACTTGGCTTCGTGGAGGTCTTAGAGAAAGCATCCTGGCGCAGGGCGAAGGCACCATTCCATTTCCGGCGACTGCAGCTCCGCTGGTCACTCCCAGGCCGCTCATTAGCGCGTTTTGCTGCTAAAGTTATTGATTAGGACGTGGAAGCCTTGGTTAAACGTGATCAAAGACCAAATCTGGGACTCTGATCTGAGATTTGCACTCCTTAACCTCGAAAACAAAGGCAAACTACAAAAAACAAAAAATCAAAAAAAATCTACAAACCCGTGTCCGAATCGTGAGCTGGTACTTGGCCATCGCCCTTCCACTCTCGCGCACTTTGTAGATGATCACGGCGTACGAGAAGATCATGAGGACCAAGGAAAACGAGTTCACCGACATGTCCACATATTTGTACCTATGAGCAATTGCTGGTTAATGCTTTCGCCTAGAAACCTCGTCATTAACGTTTTCAATGAGAACGTCAATGAGATTTCAAATTCTTGACTTACCAAGTATCCATCGGGCTATAGACGGTGATGTAATAATCACTATTCCATAGTGTGTGACAGCATGGGAAAAGCGTTGGGAGGGAGACAAGAAAACCTAAACGATCGTTCTAAGGTACAGTTTTGGGCAGGCCCATACCCAAAAAGTATCCGAAAAATAGGATGGCTATTGATCGTTTTCTGGAGAACATCCGCTTGTACTCCATCGGGTAGACGATACTCACAAATCTAAAGCGATAGATTCGTTCTTGTTTCTGGAACGCTTCGATGCGCACCATTAGGCTTGTCTAACTGACACTGCCCTTCAGACGTGGTTGTTTTTGGCGATGAAAGCCTAAAAGTGTGACCAACCGGTTGCACGCCATCAACCCGAGTTGTAGCACGCCCGTGTACCAGAATAGGTCGTAGAAGAATATCATCAGTATATTGCGCCAAGAGCCATATTCGACATAAGCTAAAGGTTCATGGTGAGAATTGTTTCCTAAAAGGCACCTGAATGGAAAGCGGTCGCCGGCACGAGATGTACCAAAGATATTAAGGACATGACAATGTCGCAAATGCCCAAAGATATGATGAACCAATAGCTGAAATTTGAGTATAATATAATTTGGTCGCAAATCATTGTGTATGTGTTTGTGTGCGGAGGTTAGCTTCGAGGCCAGATTTGAGGCCCTTCCCGTGTCCAAAACGTCCCAATTCTTCGTCACCAGGGGGAATCGACCTTCTTCTTTCCGATGGCGTTCTCAGAATTTCGCTCAAATACAATTTTACAAAGATAACGCCGGTTTTATTCAATTTTGGGGCCCGGGAGGGCTAATTTGCATAATGTGATAAAAAATAGAAATTATTCATGCTTGCCAGTTGCACTCGCGAGTTTGGTCCGGGCGGGGGCTGGGTGCCATCGGAAAGTCAATATTCTCATGTAAAGGTCGCATTCCAGCGGCCAAGGCCCGCGAAGCGGGTTTTGGGCGCTGGTTTGAGTATAAAAACTATTCAGTGCATTCAGATGAGCGGCATTTTAGCGATTATGTTAATAATTTGAACATCAAACCCCCTACCTCGTGGCCATCCGCATATTGGCATTTCGTAGAATTCCAATTAAAATTAGAATATTGGAAACGAGCGAATAGGTAAGCATGAGAAGCCAAATGGAAACGACGATCAGGTCATCGCGGCGGTCCTCTTCGGTGCTGGAAATCCCGATTGGCTGGGGATTTGAATGTACGCAACAACGTTTTGAGATAGCTATGCTTCAACTATGCTAAATAGTATGACTTCTAAGCCGAATTTTAAAATTCTTATCATATTTTGCGATGCTCTATCGAACATCTTCAAAATATCGAAAACTATCTGTTGTTGTGATCTATTTTGTTTTCGCTTCAAATTCTTATATTGCATTATTTAGGCTAGTAATTAAGATCTTAATACAGTTTTTGATCTTCTATTAAAAAGTAAAAAATTCAAATAAATTCAATCAGAAAAACTGCCCACAATAATGAACGGAACGTGTAGTGGTGAAGTTGCGATTGATTCGAAGTGACACCTTCTGCGCCGGGCATCGGTTCACGCCTGAAAAGTTAATTGAAAGTACGATACAAGGTTTTTGGGCGGATAAAGAAAACATGACTTCATCGTACCCAAAAATATTGTCCCAATTCCGGGAGTAGAAGAAAACAATGGACCAGATACCAGGAATTAGGCCATTTGCCTAATCCCCTTGGAATGGACAAAGCTCAGCGGGATATTCTGGTCCCGAAAGGTTTCCCAGGGCCGGGCAAACAACATTTTTTTGTACCTTCCAAACGGGATATCAACTATAATAATTTTGTTGTGGTCTCTGTCCGTCCGGTCCCGAATTCAACTCGAAGGGGAAAGGAGCTAGAGCTTAGGTCTCTTCGGATTCGGATAGAGCGCCCTCAGAAACCCCCAAACTGAAAAAAATTATGAAAAAGTTTTGATTTAAATTGTTAAAATTAACTTTGAAAGTTTTTCCCTTAGTAAAAGGGCAGGCCTGGGAATTTTTAGGGCCGGCCCGGGCCGGCCCAGGGCCGGGCCGGGCCGGGCCGAGATTTTCGCGATTTTTCAGGGCCGGGCCGGCCCCGGGCCGGCCCTCGAATTTTCAGGGCCGGCCCGGGCCGGCCGGCCGGCCCGGGCCGGCCCGACCTTTCTGCACGAATTAGAAATCAATTCAAATGTGGTTATATAAAGCTAATCTTTACTATTTCCGCATGTATAAGGATTACGCTATCTATCTACACAGCTTAAACAAAAAAAAAAAGCTTTTTTGATCAAAATCGCTTACCAGGAAAACGACCCGGGTTCGACCCCGCCCGAGGTCAATTTTTTGCTTTTTGCTTTTTTCTACCGGAAACAATCTGAAATAACTGCAATGCCATTTGGCATGACCTGAGACATTAAAACGTACTCTCAGCTGATGTCAGGACTCCTCTGATGCATGGCTTTAGTTAAGGTCAGAAAGTAGGGCCGGCCCCGGGCCGGCCCGGGCCGGGCCGAAAATTTTGACCTTAGGGCCGGCCCGGGCCGGCCCGGGCCGGCCCTGACCCAGGCCTGTAAAAGGGGTGGGGGACGGAGGTTGGGGTGATTTTGGACATAGTGAGCCAGGTGGCGCGCGTTTCGTGGATGAAAATTTTCACGGGGGATTTCATTTCTTTTTCTCTCTCATTCCATCCGGTCGGTCGTTATTTTCGTTTTTTAAAAGGATTTCGGCTAGGGGAGGTATCTAAAGCCATCAGGGAGGTATTTAGGTAGTTTTTGAAGGGAATTTCAGCCATGGGGGTATCTGAAGCCAACAGGAAGGTATTTAGGTAGTTTTTGAAGGGGATTTCGGCTATGGGGGGGTATCTGAAGCCATCGGGAAGGTATTTAGGTAGTTTTTGAAGGGGATTTCAGCCATGGGGGGTATCTGAAGCCATCAGGGAGGTATCGGGGTTAGCGGGCGTAGCCCGCTAACCCCTTTTGGTTTGAGGTACCCCCCCATACGACTCTTTTGGGGTCCTTTTCCGGATTTAAAAAAGAACCAAGCATCGGATCGCCAAACTGAATACACCATCGGAACCGGCGACACTTTTTGCATACTATAAGCTTTTAAAATTTGAAAAAAAGTTAAATTTCGAATTTTAACAGCCGATTTAAAATGCGTTTCGAGGGGGGGGGGTCTGCGTTTCGGGGTTAGCGGGCGGAGCCCGCTAACCCGTTTTGGTTTGAGTGTATGTGTGTGTGTATGTACGCAAAACCTTTGTAGTCGTCAAAAAGTGCCTTCCCATGGCCCGTTTGGGCTGAAATTTTCCACATATATCGGCTTGATGTAAATGAAGGTGAGGAAGAAGCGTTTTTTTCAAAATAGCTTTTTAAAAAATTTATATTTAATTTTTAAGTTTAAAAGCTAAATTGCGGTCAAAACAGGGGTTAGTGATGTCCGTTTGGGCTGAAATTTGGCTCAGATATGCATTAGACCATGCCGGAATAAGTAAAGAAGAAATTGGATCGAAAGAATGCTTCTTCTCTGAGATATTATAACTTTAAACCTTCGCCATACGGGGCGCCACCCTCCCCTTTGGCGGCCCCTGTCCCGAGCCAGGGCGGGCGGGTCTAGCTTCCCCAAGACAGGCCTCCAGTCTCCCCGTTGGCCTAGTGGTTAGCACGCTGTACTGGGAAGACTTGGCTCCCGAGTTCGAACCCCACCCGCAACATCCGTTTTGCCGATTGGCCCCCGTGCATCCTTATGGTTTCTGGCGCCGTCATAAAGCGCCGCAGGCAAATTTTTTTGAAGTTTTGCGTATAAGGGTTCATCTGAATAAGTATTCCTTGGCTTATTTTACGATCTTAACAATAAGATTGAGGCAAAAAGGGCTAAATTTCTCTCTAAGGCTAAAAAGAGTCTTTTTAAAAAAGGGCTTTTGGTTTTCGCAAAAAGAGAGGAATTCTCGTGGCAACAAAAAGAGCTAAATTCCTTTCAAACTCTTAAAAATGCCACAGAATGTGGGATCAACCAAAAGTTGCTGGCACCTTATTAAAATGGACAGATCTAGTTTCTAGCGGTTTCGGCTTGCAAATAATTCTGTATTATGATCTATTTGCACTTTCTTGAAATTAATCTGTGGACCTGACCTGTGATCTGGGATGGAACCGAGTTTATTAAGGTTTTAAATAGCCAGCAACTTTTTGTTGTTCCCGCATTCTGTGGCATTTTTAAGAGCTTGAAAGGAATTTAGCTCTTTTTGTTGCCACGAGAATTCCTCTCTTTTTGCGAAAACCAAAAGCCCTTTTTTAAAAAGACTCTTTTTAGCCTTAGAGATTTAGGTAGTTTTTGAAGGGGATTTCAGCCATGGGGGGTATCTGAAGCCATCGGGAAGGTATTTAGGTAGTTTTTGAAGGGGATTTCGGCCATGGGGGGTATCTGAAGCCATCAGGGAGGTATTTAGGTAGTTTTTGAAGGGGATTTCAGCCATGGGGGTATCTGAAGCCATCGGGAAGGTATTTAGGTAGTTTTTGAAGGGGATTTCAGCCATGGGGGTATCTGAAGCCATCGGGAAGGTATTTAGGTAGTTTTTGAAGGGGATTTCAGCCATGGGGGGTATCTGAAGCCATCGGGAAGGTATTTAGGTAGTTTTTGAAGGGGATTTCAGCCATGGGGGTATCTGAAGCCATCGGGAAGGTATTTAGGTAGTTTTTGAAGGGATTTCAGCCATGGGGGTATCTGAAGCCATCGGGAAGGTATTTAGGTAGTTTTTGAAGTGGATTTCAGCCATGGGGGTATCTGAAGCCATCGGGAAGGTATTTAGGTAGTTTTTGAAGGGATTTCAGCCATGGGGGGTATCTGAAGCCATCGGGAAGGTATTTAGGTAGTTTTTGAAGGGGATTTCGGCCATGGGGGTATCTGAAGCCATCGGGAAGGTATTTAGGTAGTTTTTGAAGGGGATTTCAGCCATGGGGGGTATCTGAAGCCATCAGGAAGGTATCGAAGTAGTTTTTGAAGGGGATTTCAGCCATGGGGGGTATCTGAAGCCATCAGGAAGGTATCGAAGTAGTTTTTGAAGGGGATTTCAGCCATGGGGGTATCTGAAGCCATCGGGAAGGTATTTAGGTAGTTTTTGAAGGGGATTTCAGCCATGGGGGTATCTGAAGCCATCGGGAAGGTATTTAGGTAGTTTTTGAAGGGGATTTCAGCCATGGGGGGTATCTGAAGCCATCGGGAAGGTATTTAGGTAGTTTTTGAAGGGGATTTCAGCCATGGGGGGTATCTGAAGCCATCAGGAAGGTATTTATGTAGTTTTTGAAGGCGATTTCGGCTATGGGGGTGTAGAATATGGAGGGTAGCCCGAAGGCCAGTCGATTACAGTCGCGAAGCGGCTGTAATCGGCTGGTTATTGATTATAAACCTCATTATCTGTTTCTTATAATTAAGCATCTTTTGCAAAATTACATATGGGATCGAAATCCAGTTTCAAGAGCTAGATACATGAAAATTATGCACAGTGATTAACGAGACGGGCCGATTCCAAATTGCCAGTTCTACAGGGTGTCCCAAAATTATCCGGACAAAACTGAAAAATGACTTTTTCAATTTTTCCGCTGTTTTCGGCCTCCGCATTGTATTTCATAATATTTTTTGGGGCATTTTCGATGCATCGTACAAAAAAAATTCTTGGAGAACGCAAAATAGCTTCACAATCGAGCGAAGAGCATGTTAAAATTTTTCGCCTCGTAAATAACATAAAAATTGCGGTAAACTTTCAAAATGTGTTCAGACGTTTTTGTGGGCAAGAAATGACGTTTCCTGGCAAAACGGACCTAACTCCGCCAAGATTCCGACATGTTAATGGCCATTTTTCCGTTTAATACCGATTTCCAACCCATTACTGGGCAAGGTGTTTCGATCCTTGCTCGTGCTCAAGCTCCTCAAAAATCAAAGTTAGCTTAATTTAACTCGCTTGTGCATCATTGTTACCGCCCAACGTTTATGCCTCTGGTCTTTGACAATAATCATATCGCGTTTTTAGGGTTCCTCCAGGGCAAAATCTTTAAGGCAACCGGGGCGGCGCGTACCTCGATTTCAGTTTTTTTTCCTGGCTGTTTTTTTCTGGTGTAAACTTAGCGTTTTTGGGCCGGCTAAAGTGTTGACTGGTCATTTCCGAACTCTTCCTGTGGTTTCTTCGTTCGTCTGGTCATGCTGAAGTTTCTTATGGGATCGGAAAGAATGCGCGTTTTCAGCGTTTGCAAGGAGAGGGAAATTTGGTTCGAAGTTCTCCAATTTATTCCCAAGAGATATGACGGATTCACGCGCAGTTTTCCTTTTAAGCTTATTAAATACCCTTTAACGATTCATAGAAATTAAATTATGGTCTGCAAAAACCGGCAAAAATAGGAAAAAACCACTTTGCAACTTTGTCCGGATAATTTTGGGACACCCTGTACTATGTCAAACCGTAGCCTGGAAAATGCGAAAACACTTTTAATTATTCACGAAATATTCGTGTCAGCCCTGCCCAGCCCACTACAAATCCGCCAGAGTACGCGGGAGCAGGCGAAAGTACATCGT